GAGAGGCATTATCCCTTACGACGAGGAAGCCGTCGTTTTGAGGGTTTTTATTTTCTTGGCACCGTTCGTACAAATCCTGGATCTTCCTTTGTGTTCTGTCTCCTTTTCTCACTCCGTCGTCGTTTTGATTCATTCAAAGTTGTTCGTTTCTCTTCCGCGCTGTTTTCTGGTTAGTCATCCCCCCTTGCTCCGGCGTCGTTTCGTCCTTAACGTCTCTGTTCTGATTCCATTCTCGTTTGTTTCTTCTTCCCTTCTTCTCTGTAACCCAACCACGCAAACGAATCAAGATTGAAACTTTTCTCTCTTATGTTCTGTATCAATGGAATTCGAGCTAATCTCTTGCCTCAATTTTTTTTTTTAGGGTTTCGATTTTGTTGAATGGAATCAATCATTTTTGCTGCGAATATTCATCTGGGCACATCAAAATTATAGTCTTTTCTGGTAAAGTTTGAAGATTTATTCTCTGATTTTTTCCAGTGTTGGTTGTTTTTGTTTCGATTAGGTGAGTGTTGATGCAGATGGACGCCTTAGCGAATCCAGGACCACTTAAGGACATTGTTCTTTATGATCAAGAGAAACATGTCTCCTCTGCTGTTTGGGATGGCCAGGTTAACCCCTGTTACAATTTCTATGTGTTTGTGGAACAAAGATTGGATGAATTGGCCTTAGAGACTTGAAGTCATAGATATACAGCTTTGATTATTATTCATGTATTTGCACAATGTTTCTATTTGCTGACTAAGAATAATGTGGAACCAAACTGTTAGGAGCGAGGTGCGTTGAGGTGTCATGAGCACACTTCAAAGCTGAGTGAGTGGAAGCTTAATTCAAAGCAGATAGAATTGGTGGAGAGAGCCGGTTTTGGGTATTTGAGACGTATCCCTGCCATTAGTCTTGACAATCCTCTTATCTCTGCGTTGGTCGAGCGCTGGAGGAGAGAGACCAACACTTTCCATTTCACTGTTGGGGAAATGACTGTGACTCTTGAAGACATTGCCATGTTACTCGGACTGGGGATTGATGGTAAACCTGTGATTGGAGTAACGTATACTACTTGTTCTTCTGTATGTGAGAGGTACTTAGGGTTGGCCCCAGATTCTAATTACGCTAGTGGTGGGATGGTGAAGCTTAGCTGGTTGAAAGAATTTTTCTCTTGCTGTCCTGATGATGCATCTTTTGAAGAAGTTGAGCGCTGCACACGGGCTTACCTCTTGTACTTAGTTGGGAGTACCATCTTCTCTACAACCACTGGAAACAAGGTGCCTGTTATGTATCTTCCGCTCTTTGAGGATTTTGATGATGCTGGAACATTTGCATGGGGTGCAGCTGCTTTGTCTTTCCTCTATAGGGCACTTGGGAATGCTTCTGTTAAATCCCAAAGCACGATATGTGGTTGCTTGACGCTATTACAGGTGATTTTCCAAAGTCGTTTATGCAGAATGTTTCTGCTAGTTTCAGCAATTTGAATACTTGTGAAATTTCATACATTGACATAATTTTCTTAATTGTCTCTCCTTCCTCTTTTGTTTTATGTAGTGTTGGAGTTACTATCACTTAAACATTGGCAGGCCAAAGCTGAATCGTGAGCCAGTCCATGATCATTTCCCATTTGTGCTTAGGTGGAAGGGGAAGCAAAATGGTCCAACAGCAAACCGGGATGTGGTCTTTTACCGGAAAGCGCTAGACGTCTTGAAGCCATGTGATGTAACCTTGTTGATTTTACATATTCATAAGTTACTCTTCTTTGTGTAATACTTCTTTTGATTCATGTCGTTGGTATTCTTTCATTGGGAATTAGGTGGAGTGGCTGCCATATGAAAATATGGATGGTAGATACATACCTGATCATATCAGAAACACTTTGCAGTTGGGTAGATCAAAAACAATGCTGATATCTTTTGATAAGGCGGAGAGACACCTGCCTGATCGCTGTCTCAAACAATTTGGCTTGTTTCAAGGCATCCCAGAAGATGTGCAAAGGTGGGTAAGAAAGTCTCGGGGAGTTGATGGAGGGGTTGACCTGTCGGTTAAAATGGAAGCAGAGCTAAGCGAATGGGAAATGCGGTGGGAAAACACTGTGCCTGATGATGTTCTAGGTGTAGATGAAGCAGACTACATGAGGTGGTACATGGGAATTACCCGCAAAATCGTGGGAAGGCCCATCTCTCTTTCAAGCGAGTTTCAAAGAACGGTAATAGCTAAGAACTCATTTCCTGACACTCAGTAATTTTGACTGTACGTTTGTAGGTATGACATTAATACTTGATCCTCCTTGTTATTGCAGATTTCAAATGTGAGGGATATATTGGAGTTGGCTGAGAATTTTTCAACACATGATTTGGACCTTGAAAGAAACAACATGCTTTCACGGATTATCAGCCTTGCGCAAGACTGCCTGAGAGATCAAGTTGGAGTAACGGTTATTGCAACAGAAAGCCAGCAGCAGATAGAACTTGGGAAGAGGATGCGCGGTAAAGAAAGGGTGAGAAGGAAGGGTATGGGAAAGAGAAGGAAAGGTATTGATCCAATGGAAGACTATGGAGGTAGTGATGATGAATCCCAGTTTGGACCTGTGGTTGAGGTTGATCAGTTGCATTTACCACTTAGCCATGCAAATTCGGTGTACGATGGAACACATATGTACGATGCTGTCACCAAAGTTGATGACATGGAGCTCTGCGAAAACATCCCTCAATTGCCCGATGCTCAAGACATGAACAAGATTGAGCAGGCATTGCTAGATGATACAAACAAGTCTGTTGAGGACAGTAAGCTACATGAAGAGATTTGTAACACTGAGAGCGTTGCGGAACTGTCTGAGGGATATGATGTGAAGAAAGAGGATAAAGAATCAAAGCTTGAAAATGATGATGCAGAAAAGGGAATTAGTGATTTGAGCGGTGAAGAACACGAAAATAGAGAGGAAGATGATGGAACGGACATGGGAGAAAGCGTTGCAGAGCCATCTTCTCTTGAAAGAAGAGGAGAGAACACTTTGGTGGCTTGAAAACAGTTGGTGTTCATCTCTGTTTAACCAATGTGAA